CTGTACAGTAGGGAGCAAATGGACAGTATTCTGGCCACTAGCATGCTACACTGCAGAGAGTAAGGGATTTCCAGCTGCACACTGTTCTAGGAGCTATATTCTTGTACTAAGAGGATGATGGGGACACCTTGAAAATAGTCTGGAAAAGCCATGATTATATTTACTGAATTCACTGAAATAAATTCCTCTCCTCTGTGATGGGATTTACGTAGAATATCAAGGAAGGACCTGCTGTGGTTGCTGGCTTTTGTGGGGTTGTTTTTTTTTTTTTTTAAGTTCCAGCTCCTGGAGACATGAGAAGTTGAGCTTTCATTTTAAAAAGTTTCTAGCCCCAATATTTGCAGAGAAAAGTTGGAAAATGGGACTCCTAAAGGCTCCAAAACCAGAAAAGAGAGACCAAAAATGTAGTTTTTAAATTCATGGTTTTTAAGTTAGTCATGTTTTTTGGGGTCCTGACTCGTGATTTCTGAACACTCGGGGTTGGCAGTTTTTACATATAGGGTCACATTATGGTAGGTCCACTGTTAGGTGGAAGGGTTGGTGCAAGCAGCACACTTCTCCTACCAGCACTCCCCTGAAGGAGGCAGCCTGGAGGAGTCCAGGGTGAGAGAAAGCTTGCCAGCATTGCCAGAGTCTTTCCACATGCAGTTTTTAAGCTCCATGGAAAGTTGAGAGTCTTAAATCCTTGTAAACACACCACACAGGTAGGGTTGCCAGGCATCCAGTTTTTGACCGGAACACCCAGTCGAAAAGGGACCCTGGCAGCTCCGGTCAGCACTGCTGCCGAGGCTCTTAAAAGTCTGGTCGGTGGCACAGAAGGGGCCCGGGGCTAAGGCAGGCTCCCTGCCTGCCCTAGCTTCGCATGGTTCCCAGAAGCGGCCGCCAGGTCCTTGCAGCCACTAGGTGCATGGGCGGCCAGGGATGCCCCATTCGCTATCCCCGCCCCTAGTGCCGGCTCCATAGCTCCCATTGGCCAGAAACTGTGACCAGTGGGAACTGCGAGGGCAGCACCTGCGGGTGCGAGGGCAGCGTGTGGAGCCTCCCTGGCTGCCCATGTGTCTAGGGGCTGAAGGGACCTGGCAGCCACTTCTCGGGAGCCGCGATAAGCGCCGACAGGACCCCGCACCCCGAACCCTCTCCTGCACCCCAACCCCCTGCCCCAGCATGGAGTGCCCTCCTGCACCCAAACTCCAGAGCCCGCACCCCCCCCAACACCCCAATCCCCTACCCCAGTCCCCTCCTGAACCCCAACCTCCTGCCCCAGCCTGGTGAGGGTGGGGGAGAGCGAGCGATGGAGGGAGGGGGGATGGAGCGAGTGGGGACGGGCCTCAGAGAAGGGGCGGGGGTGAGGCAGGGGTGTTTGGTTTTGTGCGATTAGAAAGTTGGCCACCCTATACACAGGTAAGAGTCTCATTGTCTGCAGTAGGAGTTTTTGCTTGTAGTATCAGGGCCCACAATAAAAATATTAGAATTTAAGATTTTGACATCCAATTTGATTGAGTTCTCTTATCTTAATATTGGAGACATGAATTAAGATGGGTTCAGTCAACATTTATTCTTTTTTGATCAGATTCTTAATGGTGAATGTTGTGTAGGCCAGTGGTTCTCAAACTAGGGCCACCACTTGTTCAGGGACAGCCCCTGGCGGGCTGGGCCAGTTTGTTCACCTGCCGCGTCTGCAGGTTTGGCCGATCGCAGCTACCAGAGGCCGCGGTTCGCCGCTCCAGGCCAATGGGGGCTGCAGGAAGCGGTGGCCAGTATGTCCCTCAGCCCGCGCCACTTCCTGCAGCTCCCGTTGTCCTGGAGCGGCGAACTGCAGCCTCTGGGAGCTGTGATCGGCCGAACCTGCGGATGCGGCAGGTAAACAAACTGGCCCGGCCCACCAGAGGCTTTCCCTGAACAAGAGGCGGCCCTAGTTTGAGAACCACTGGTGTAGGCTACACATGGCATTGTTGGGTTTTTTTAAATAAGAACTGTGAGAGGATCTTAAAAGTGGACCACGCAATATGGCTCCCGTTTTGTATTACTTAATATTTTAATTAACATTAATAAACATTTTTAAACTTTAGCAGGTTCCCACCTGTAACATTGCTCCACTGAAGTCTTTGTTTTTAGTCCTATCTCTTATTTTTTTCACTGTTTACTTTTTCCTTTGGCTAAAAGAAGGGGAGTGTATGTATGTTTTATTTCTGGAAGGTTTGTTAATGGGGAACAAGATGTTCTAAACTAAGTAATGCCAGAATTCTGCCCCTGAACTCCAGATTGAATTGCTCAGCAGGTGAAGTCTGAATTGCTAATAGAAATGATACTTTGGGAGAAGATTTTTGCCCAAGGTTGGCTTTGTACAGATACAAAACGTTTCTCTGACTACCAGCTCCCTTCAGTGCTGCTTCTGGAACACAGCGACCCTATTAAACCACTTTCATTTTGTGACAAATATATTTTCTGTGTATGTGCTTAACTTGCCAGTATGTTTCTTCCATTTCTAATGGGATTTTTCCTCCGTTCTCCTTTTGCTAAACATGATGTGGGACTAAATGGCACTTACTTATCAGAGCTGATGTAGATAAACAAAGCATCCTGTTTACTAATTACATCAAATAAACCTGCATCAAATGACTTCCTGTAGTTATTGGAAGTTGCTATATTAAGACATGATGTTGCCCTGTACTTATAAATTACCAAACCAGACAGAAAATTTACAAGGGAAGGTAGTTGCACCCTGAGACACTCAAGTGCTGTATGGTAGCCAAATTCTGACTGGCCTATGAGAATGGAAAAACCAGACCATATGTGGCTTCACTATATTATAATTCGGTTCATAGCAAACCCAGGTTTGGACCTTGTATTACAGTGCGCAAATAGCCCTGTTTGCTATTGCTAATCCTTTTAAAAGGTGTTTATCAATTGTTATATACAAGTGCAGATTTTTTGATTTATTCAAGTTATATACACCTATAAGTCTGATCCTTGTCATTCACATCCATGTTTTTTCTATTGAAGCATTAGGCCTCATGTTATTTAAGCAATGAGAAATAGCCACATTGGTCTGAATTCTGATATCAGTTACAGAATTAATTTTTGTAATGATACATTGGTGTAAATCTAGTGTTACTGAGGTAAGAGTTTAGTCTGGTCAATAGTAAACATGCCATAGATTAATGACACATTGTCTATGTGGAAATATATCTACTTATGTACATATACTTTGTGTATATTTTATACAAGCTTGTAACTGATAGCTGGATTTTTTCCAAAATACATGTGTTATGAAATTAAAGTTCTATCAAATCTTGTATAAGACAGAAGAGAAAGTGGAGGGATTTTTTTGTTAGCACTATAGAGATGCATTATAATGGTGCAAAACTTAGAGCACCAAGACTGAATTTTTCTGCTTATGCCGAGATCAAGTACAATTTAGATAATCTAGGTAATACTTAGCCCTGCAATGAGTACAGGGAACTGGACTAGATCTCTCGAGGTCCCTTCCAGTCCTGCGATTCTGTGATTTGAATGCATAATGTTGCTTTAAAATTAAGTAAAGAATTTTTCTATCTTTTCTATGTGTGCAATGACAACATATGTAAAGATCACCGGAGATATATTTGGGAATTTATCCACTCCTTTTCTATTTTTTCATCCCGTCAGATTGATTACAAGTTTTATAAGACAAATTTCAAAAATTTGTCAGATGTATTAGTGTTGGTCAAGAGTTCTCTGGCACTGACATCCAAGACCCCTGCTTTTTTATATATATATATATATATAATATATTATAGAATTCAGGGATGAAGAGTGATCTTTTTTAGATCAATGTCTTATAAGGTCAGAGTAAAATCCATCCCCTTTTCTATCTAGCACAAGCCACAGTCTGCCAAGATGCTTTTTATTTGTTTTCTGGATTGTTTGTATTATTGTTCCACCTGTTTTGGAATAAGAATTTCAGACACTTTGATAAGTAGATTAGAGAAGTTGTCTTGTAGCTTCTGTAAGTATCTGTAATGCGAGGACATACAATTTTGTTACTTCCTGCAGCTAAAGCCTTCGTTAGCATATCTGAAGTTTTATTTATGTATGTGATTCAAGAAGAGTGGCTTGATGGCTGTGTTCTGGTAGTTTTATGTGGTTAATGTAATCTACCACTGGGCACTGTTATTTTTTCTTCTGGTATATTTTCCAGTCTCACTTCAGAAAGACTGACTTATCCTCTCTCCTGTTGTAAATTATCCTTAATGGATTGGATTAAATAATACAATTAAACATGATATTTCTTCTGAATATTAATTCCAGCCAAACTGAATAATCATAGAATCATAGAAATGTAAGACTGGAAGGGACCTTGATAGGTCATCTAGTGCAGACCCCTGCACTGAGGCAGGACTAAGTATTCTCTACACCATCTCTGACAGATGTACATGCAATCACTGGCTCTTACAGGAGAAATGCCAACGTTGAGTATTTTTGTAGGCAAGCTTAGTTATTTGTTTCTAATACAGGGCTATTTTAGCATGTGTTACATGGCATTGGATTTTGATTTTAAGACATCATGATTAGAGTACCGGTAACAATAATAATAATTGAACAAGCCACCATGTGTTAGGTCACTGATTTCAAGTACAGGCCTACCATTCTCCATATATATTTAATAAAAAGAATAGGAGAGGAGTCTGTTATACTGTATCTTCCCATTATATTTTTCATGCATGTGATTTTTTTGAATTTTGTTGTAAAGAGGTTTCAGCAGAAGCCTGCTCAGTTGCCTAGCAGCATCTGAACCAAATGGGAAATGCCTTCTGTGACCTTGCCTTGTCATAAGCAGTGACTCTGAAGATCACTGAAAGTCATATCATTGCAGCTTTACTCCCTGGGTACAACACTGCATTTTTAAAAGCCATTTTAGGTTGAGAAGCTGTATGTTGGAACTCCGCTCCATACAATAGTAGTTCCACTATTGGCACAGTTTCTGGAACAATGGTCTCTCTGCTTCTTGTGTTTTTCAGGGACATCCACATGCTTATTAAGTTCTGCTTTGTGAACGGCGGAAGAAGATTGTCAAATTGGCTGAAAGAGCGGTAAGAGCTGTCACAGTTTTCAAAGATACAAGGATGTTTTTCTGTTATTAACACAAATTTTCACAGCAGTGGAATCTAGAATCCAAAACTGCTACTTCCCTCTCTCTCCTACTCCTTACTGTTCCAGTATTCAGAGTATTCCAGTATGTATGAAAATTGTCATTCTTTGCCTCACAAGAAAAGCAATGAAAGACTAAATTCATTTTCTGGAAATAATCTTTAGTGGCCTTTCCATCAAACAACAGGACCATTGAATTGAGTATATTTGTAAATTTAAGATATGCAAGAGTTTGAATCAATTTACTTGACACAGCAAAAATACTATGGAAAAACAAATGCCAGGCTAATCAAAATGTTAGTTAATTAACAGACTATTGTAACAATAATAATATAGTCTTCAAAACTTTATAAATGGATCCTTTCAAAGTGTTTCTGCTGGCATCCCACTTCTGAATAAGAGGTGAACTGGTTTCCTGCCTCTTCATCTAGGCTATAATCCTAATTGACCTAAAAAAATTACAGTTCTATGTCCAGTTGTAATGGTACTGGCTGTGTGTGACTATGCCCTCACAAGGCAAAGGTACTTACTAGTACTGCCAGCTAGGGGAAATCTTTAGTTCAAATGGTAGAGACCTATGTTTGTGAAGTAAAAGGATCACGCTTTAATAATTGCTCTGTAGGTGTCATTTACCTAGTATTTGTATTTTTCTACAGCACATGGATGTTACACAGGTATCATGATGGCAGTTATCTACTTGTGAGGAAGCATGTATGGCAGGGGTGGCCAACCTGTGGCCACATGCGGCTCTTCAGAAGTTAATATGCAACTCCTTGTATAGGCACTGACTCTGGGGCTGGAGCTACAGGCGCCAACTTTCCAATGTGCCAGGGGGTGCTCAGTGCTCAACCCCTGGCTCTGCCACAGGCCCTGCCCTCACTCCACTCCACCCCTTCCCGCCCCCTCCCTTGAGCCTGCCATGCCCTCGCTCCTCCCCCTCCCCCCCAGAGCCTCCACACTACAAAACAGCTGATCAGTTGGTGCAGGGAGGGAGGGGGAGGGGGAGGTGCTGATCGGCGGGGCTGCCAGTGGGCGGGAGGTGCTGTTGCAGGGAGGGGAGCTGATGGGGGGGGCTGCTGACGTATTACTGTGGCTCTTTGGCAATGTACATTGGTAAATTCTGGCTCCTTCTCAAGCTCAGGTTGGCCACCCCGATGTATGGGTTCTTGGAGTACTTGACCCCCAGGCTGCTTATCTAGTGTTCAATGAATAGTTCTCACTAGAACAGTGCAGGCAGCAAAGTTGAAGACCAAACATTTCACTTTGATTACCTTAATTTTAGGGAACCATTCCTGGGGTAGCTAACCTACCCTGCCACCAGACAGAAGTTTTCTGACAATAGGTAAAGCAATAAACAGCCCTTTGGAATAAAGTAGGTACATGTCATGCTGTAGGTGTAATTTACTAGTCTTAAGTATGACTAAAGGCAGAAGGCAGCTATGCTTACAAAATGAAAAAGTTAGTCACACAAATCCAGAGTTTTTAAACTATTCAATTTTCCAATGTTTCTGAAGTGTTCTCTTGGTAACATTATCCTTAGAATAATCAGATTATTGGATAAAGAGGAAATACTATTAATATGGGAGGATGGAAGCAAGGCTAAGAGTTATGACTTTTTAACATGATAAGTAATATATAGGAGGCAGGTGAGTTCGGAGGAAATCTTGTACTGTAGTTTTTGGTCCTACATGAGTTGGCTAATACATAGAGCTATTAGAAAGCTACTAGAAAATAGAAGTGTGGCAGGAACTGGATAGAAATCTCCCCTATCAGACCTCTTCATTTGTTCAGAATTATAGCAAAACAACAGACAGTATAGCCATTGGCATCAAAAGATCCTATCGGTGTGGGCATGAATAAGCAACCAATAATTCCTTTAGTGAGTATTTGTGAAGAAAGGGGGGAAAATCTCCAACTTTTAAAACATTGCTGCTGTATCTGCATTGGAAAGGGTTTACCTGTGTTAAAGCCTAGTGATTAGGTCCCTGGCTACAATTTTCCTCCATCTTTAGTGTCCCCTGCTAGTGGTCACTCCAGCAAAGTCACAGTCTCTCTTTTAGTAGATAGTAATTCAGCCCTCCAGCCAGGTCATCATTGAATTCCGCCCCTTTTCGGGGCCACAGAGTCCAACAAAGTATAGTATCAGGGGGTAGCCGTGTTAGTCTGTATCTACAAAAACAACAAGAAGAACAGGAGTACTTGTGGCACCTTAGAGACTAACAAATTTATTACAGCATAAGCTTTCGTGGACTACAGCCCACTTT